AACCCAATTAAAAAATGGGCAAAGGACTTGCATAGACATCTCTCCAAAGAAGATAGGCAGATGGCCAATAAGCACATGAAAAGATACTGAACGTCATCAGTAATTAGGGAATTGTAAATCAAGCCACACTTTGCCACTACTAAGATGGCTATAATCGATAAAACAAAAAGTAACAAGTGTTGCTGAGGATATGCAGAAATTGGAACCCTTATACATTGCTGGTAGGATATAAAATGGGGTAGCCTCTGTGGCAAGCAGTTTGGCTGTTCTTCAAAGAATTATCATACAACTCACCAATTCAACTCTTAGGTATATACTGAAAGGAATTGAAAACAGGAGCTCAAACAAATATTTGTCCACCAGCATTATTTACAATAGCCAAAAGGTGGAAACATTCCAAGTGCCCATCAACAGATAAGTGGATAAACAGTGCTGTTTATACACGATGAAATATTAGTCATAAAAAGGAATGAAGTTTTGATGCATGACATGTCATAGCTGAATCTTGAAAACATTGTGCTAAGTGAAATGAACCAGTTACAAAAGAACAAATATTGTATGATTCCACTTATATGAAATCTCTAGAATAGGCAAATTCTTAGGGATAGAAAGTAGATGAAGGTTAACCAGGACTGGGGCCGTGGAGGGTTACTGCCTAATGCTTATACAAATTCTGTTTGGGGTGATGGAAAATGTTTAGAAACAGATAGTTGTGACGGTTGCATGTTGAATCTAATTCAACGGCTGACAGTGTGAATCTGATTAATGCCACTGAAAAATGATTGAAATGACATATTTTATATCTTTTATATGTATTTCATCACACGCAAATAATTTTTAAAAAGAGTTAAACAACCGTAAAGCTGTTTTACCTGTAGCATGATGCGATTGCAAATAATATGATTAGCAGGTACGCCAAGTGCAACAAAGGGATCACGGTCATAGAAGTTGTTTCAAATTCCAGTTGTCTGGAAAGTGACGTGAAATAGACCACCTGCCACAAAAATATACCCAAGTAAATAACTTTTCACTCCAATATCTGTGTGTGTTACAAACACTACTGAAACACTATAGTTTATTCATTGAAACAACAGGTTAAAATTTAGTAAAAGATCAAAATATGTGAACTATGACTTTAGAATAAAGAAGGCAACATAGATTTGCTTCTTCCCGCAAATCCCTGGCATGCTTTCCAAAGTTTCTTGCAAAAACCCGAAGTTTGAAACTCCTGACTATACAAAATCTGAGTTCTGTATAAGACCGTGAAGTCATTAACAGCCACAGAAAAGTGTCACTTTTTCTAAATTTTATTAAGTTGTTGTCTTTTACTATTTTAATTGCATTGATATTTCAGAAAGATCTAGCATTCAAAGGCTTTTTCCAGTAGTTGTCTCACTTTGACCAGGCTTATTCACAAGTACTAGTAGGCTTGCTGGCCCAACGTTACCGAATAGTTAGCATGTGCCTGGCACTATGCGATCACTTACTCGGAAAATGCTAAGCTAGTTGTCTTTTCAAAAACAGCATGGAACTTCTGCTTAAAGTTTTTTTTTTTTTTTTAATTTTATTTTTTATTTCAGTGAAGTCCAAACAAGTTCTCCCAAACAGCAGAGACTTTAACTAAAAGTAGGAATTTTAACGTCATTTGAGTAGCAAACCTGATGGTCAGTGTCTGTATGGAACAGACCTACCTTGAGGATGTAGGATTTGTGTTTTCCACCAGAACATTACTAAGGATTTAAGATTTGTGGCATCCTTTGATGTGTGAAATTAAGGACTCTGGATTAAGTACCAAACAGAGTAGAGCACTCCCAGCTTCAAGCCAAGGACTCCATCAAATAATCAGGGAGTGCTACTGCTATGA